ATGGAAGCTCAATCAGCGTTCGGTCATGGAAGTGTTGCGTTCACAAAGTTGCCTCACTCCCAATGGACAGATTACTTCCTCAAGGTTCCACTCAACGATTCGGTGAGACATTATTACTAACTATGTATACATATGTTCACTATATTGCTAGGGGCATAATACAACACTAAAAGAGGGTGCACCATCAATGGATGCATAACCTTTTTCAACCAGCGCAGGGGAATAATATAATACTAAAAAGTAGGGTAAAAATAATACAGAAGGAGTAAAATATAGTGCTCCACAAATTGAATTTGAGTTGACCAGGGCTTTATATTATACGCAATAGATTACATGAAAAATATCTAAACACTTGCCGGCAATAAATAAGATATACAGATTTTATTTTGGCGTTAAAATGTATAACTCTTGATAAAAACTTTCCCGGCAATAAAAAAAACTTTGAAGTAAAAGTTTACATGAAAATGATTTTTGAGTTTGTATGAACTAATAGGAATTCGATGTTACTACAAGAGAGATTGACATACTCAAGCCTGAAGTTAGGGAGCTCCTATCTTCCGAAGGTGACAATGAGACATGCAAAAAGAAAGTGAAATTGATCCAACTGCTTCTTAGCCTTGTCTCGGATTTCATTTTGAGAATGAGATCAGTGATATCCTAGAACATGCTTTTCAAAGGATAGAGGATCTAATTGGTGATGAAAATGACTTGTCTCTAATCACCATTATGTTTCGCGTTTTTAGAACATACGGACACAACATGTCATCCGGTAAGACAATTTGTCATCTCTATGTTTTTTTTCTCTCTCAATTTATCTAATGCAAACAACTTAACAGTGTAAAATCTAGCAACATAACCACAGAATTTACAACACATGTGCAACATATATTTTAATTCTTTATTTTAATATCGCGATTAACTTGTAAAATCATCACAATTTGCAAAAGATTTGCACCCAAGGATCTATTTCTTTGTTTGAACGTAACATTTTGTTCCATATGCTTAAGGTTTGTTCCTTCTTCCTTCGCGAGAGATCACTTGGGAAAACCAAAACAAACGAGAAACTTAAACTTATGAAACACAACATTATTTCTTTAAGAAAAAATGATAATGGAGGAATAAAGGGTCGGATTTCTTTTTACATATATCAAGAGATTAATTAGAATAAACAGCACCAATTTAACTGGAGCTT